CCCACCCTGTCAGTGGGTTGAACACATGACGAAACGCGAGGAGTCGGCGAGACCCTTGGTTCAGCTTGCGAGTTTCACAATATTAATATATATATATATATATATATCCGCACAAGATTGTTCAAAGCTTCGAACGTTTTGGCTCGGGCTCAAGATTTTTCTAAATCCCCTCAAGCCTTCGTGAACAAGCCTCACTTTGCCACTATGTCCTCTCAACACTCTTTTGCTCCTATGAGCTAATATGTAGAGATTTAGTAAATGGTTCCTGCATTATATCATCCGCAGTCTTAGACACATAGACTGACACATCCATCATATAAAGCACACCTCAGGCCTCTCAAGCCAGTTCCATCATTTCACATGGCCAGCAGTGGCGCAGCGCTGCCACTTGCAGGACTTGCGGGGCCACTTGTCAAGAATTGTGCAACAGCAGGGGTGAGGAGCGCAAGACATTGCAAAACAGCAGGTGCTGACAATCTCCCTTCACTTCTCAGGTTACCCATCAGCCCCAGTGCCCTGTCAGGTGCTTTTCGTCAGACTCTGACACGACCGCCATTGTTTGTTTCATGTTGTTTCCACATATTGTATTTTTGGCATATGGGCTCCACTTGCTACGGTTGTATTATTCAAATTAGGTTCAGGTTTGTACCTCTAGCAGACTCTAGCACCCTAGCTTGTTTGCTTTGAGCAGGCTTTGGAAACATGGAACGTCAAACATGTGCAACAGAGTGAAACTGGAGCCTACTTCCCAATTGTTTTGGCGTTCAAACCAGGCCGCCGCCAGCTGCCACGACTGCACTTGCCATGCTCTGCACAAGCGCAGGATGCTGTTGGAAACAGGGTCATACGCCGGCAGAAGTACTGTAGGAACTTGGCTACATAAATATTTACAGATAAGGAGCTCTTCCAACAAATGAAGGCATCACTCGTGTGTGTGTGTGTGTGTGTCAACTCCTGTTCCTAAGGATTCTGGTCACACTAAGGAATTCGATTTACTCCAAGTCATATTACAAGTTTCTCCATCCACTTGTGCAGCGTTCAGCAGGGGGTCCAGGCAGTTGTGAGTTGGCCCTGGACCAACGAAGACGGACTCACAACTGGTGAAGCGAGAAGGGACGCCTTCTTGTGTACCTGCATTTTCCCTTGTTAATTGGCCTATAAAGTGCTAATGCATCTTTGTTGAACCTTCTGTTGAGCCGACCCAGCACTTCCTGCAGTTGATTCAAGTCAAGGTCTAGTTGAGCGTAAAGGTCTAACTGCGGCAATCCGGGACTTCACTAACTGATACAGCTCTTGCGAGCAATGATCTAAGTGTGTCTCGCAACAGGGCCCCACAGAGGTTTGTTGCGTGACCCCCGCCAAGGGGCGCTTCCTGCACAGGCCCTCAAGGGTGAACGAACACAGGATTCGCGTTTCTTGCATGCCTATCACTGACTCAGCTGCCTGCTCAAGATTGCTGACTAGAAGCTGCAGAGCTCTCTGGCAATCATCCAGAGAATGACATGCCACGCGGCTAAGTAGTCATGGGCATTAAGACATGCTGCTAAGTATTCATAGGCAGCTTCGGACATGTTTGCTTTTCTTCTTTCGGCTTTCTTCGTTTTCTAGGTCTTCCTTCGTTGCTAAAGGCTTATTAGGTGTAATCCAGGCCTTTTCGGTCAAGAGTGTGCCGATTTCGGCTTCTTGGCCAGTGCCTTTGCGCCAGTGCCTCCCAACAACCCCCCCCACCACCACACCCCTGCCCTGCACCTGTTTTTTCCTTGCCTTTTCCGTTTGTTTGGTCTTTCCTTCAGGCTTGTTAGGTCGACTTTTAGGCTCGTTTAGTCAATGCACGCCCCACACCCCTTCCCCTCCACCCCGCGAAGAAAAGGAGCCAGCGCCGAATGGCGGCTCCTTGTGTGTGTGTCCGCTCCTGTTCCTGAGGGTTCTGGCCACACTAAGGAATTCGGTTTATTCTAACTCATATTAGGTTTCTCCATCCACCTGCACAGCGTTCAGCAGGGGGGCCCAGGCAGTTGTGAGTTGGCCCTGGACCAACGGAGACAGACTCACAACTGGTGAAGCGAGAAGAGCGTAAAGGTCTAACTGCGGCAACCCGGGATTTCACTAACTCATACAGCTCTTGCGAGCAATGATCTAAGTGTGTCTCGCAACAGGGCCGCACAGAGGTTTGTTGCGTGACCCCCGCCAAGGGGCCCTTCTTGCACAGGCCCTCAAGGGTGAACGAACACAGGATTCGCGTTTCTTGCATGCCTATCACTGACTCAGCTGCCTGCTCGAGATTGCTGACTAGAAGCTGCAGAGCTCACTGACAATCGCCCAGAGAATGACACGCCATGCGGCTAAGTAGTCATAGGCGTTAAGACATGCTGCTAAGTAATCATAGGCAGCTTCGGACATGCTTGCTTAATCCGTTGCGAAAGGCCGCCTTTCGGTCAAGAGTGCGCCGATTTCGGCTTTTTGGCCAGCGCCTTTCTGCCAGAACAACACCCCTCCCCCGCACCCCTGCACCTTTCTTTTCCGTTTGTTTGGTCTTTCCTTCAGGCCTGTTAGGTCGATTTTTCGGCTCGTTTAGTCCATGCGCGCCCCACACCCCTTCCCCTCCACCCCGCGAAGAAAAGGAGCGAGCGCGGAATGGCGGCTCTTTGTGTGTGTCACCTCCTGTCTGTAAGGATTCTGGCCACACTAAGGAATTCGATTTACTCCAATTCATATTCTTAGGTTTCTCCATCCACTTGCGCAGCGTTCCGCAGGGGGCCCAAGCAGTTGTGAGTTGGCCCTGGACCAACGAAGACGGACTCGCAACTGGTGAAGCGAGAAGAGACGCCTTCTTGTGTACTTGCATTTCCCCGTGTTAATTCGCTGGTAAAGTGCTGATGCATCTTTGTTTAACCTTCTGTTGAGCCGACCCAGCACCCCCTGCAGTTGATTCAAGTAAAGGTCTAGTTGAGTGTAAAGGTCTAATTGCGGAAAGCGGGATTTCACTAACGCTCTTGCGAGCAATGATCAAGTGTGTGTGTGTGTGTGTGTCCACCCCTGGACAAAGGGTTTCCTTCGACCACTCCAAT